AGATCTCTCTGTGGAAAAGGGGGATCACTGTTTAGGTGCGTGTTATAGAGTCGGCAATATTTATGTTATCTCTACGGCACGTGACAATACTAAACTATTTGCATGGTTCACCCTCCTCTTCGTCTTTAGAGAGTCACCCTAAGGTGAATTCTTTTTCGAGGTTTCTTGGCCTCGAGCCGCTCGCCTCCGAGCGTGGTGTTGCTTCTTTTTCATAATTTATGTCCAGCATTTACATAACCTTAGAGAAGAGGAAAAACTGCGAAACAGTGGATATATGATGGCGTGATCTAACAATTATCAAATTTGAACCCGTACTGATAAAGAAGAAAGCTTGGTTGGAGATCGGATTTCTTAACTTTAAGTTTCTTTCAACAGCTGGCATTGAAACAATGGTTATATCTGCTATTCAAAATAAAAATAGTTCTTAAGGAAAAATGTAAAAAAAACATACAGAAATAAAACCAAGTGCTCATAAAGCGCACTGAGCTTCTCGTGACTCAGGAAAAGTGTGACATTACACTCAACTTGTCAGACTATTCTACCCTTCCACACCTCCGAGAAGTGTGGAACTAAGTAAAGAATGACAAGGGGTTCTTAACAGGGGGAAAAGTGCGACAATATCCTTACTTTGTCAGACTATTCCACAGTTCCACACCTCTGAGAAGTGTGGAACAAGGTAAAGAATGACAAAGGGTTCATGACTGGGGGAAAAGTGCGGCAGTATCCTTAGTTTGTCACACTATTCCACACTTCCACACCTCTGGGAAGTGTGGAACTAAGTAAAGAATGACAAAGGGTTCATGACTGGGGGAAAAGTGCGGCAGTATCCTTAGTTTGTCACACTATTCCACACTTCCACACCTCTGGGAAGTGTGGAACTAAGTAAAGAATGACAAAGGGTTCATGACTGGGGGAAAAGTGCGGCAGTATCCTTAGTTTGTCACACTATTCCACACTTCCACACCTCTGGGAAGTGTGGAACTAAGTAAAGAATGACAAAGGGTTCATGACTGGGGGAAAAGTGCGGCAATATCCTTAGTTTGTCACACTATTCCACACTTCCACACCTCTGGGAAGTGTAGAACTAAGTAAAGAATGACAAGGGGTTCTTAACAGGGGGAAAAGTGCGACAATATCCTTACTTTGTCAGACTTTTCCACACTTCCAGACCTCTGAGAAGTGTGGAACTAAGTAAAGAATGACAAAGGGTTCATGACTGGGGGAAAAGTGCGGCAATATCCCTAGTTTGTCACACTATTCCACACTTCCAGACCTCTGAGAAGTGTGGAACTAAGTAAAGAATGACAAAGGGTTCATGACTGCGGGAAAGTGCGACAATATCCTTACTTTTTCGGACTTTTCCACACTTCCAGACCTCTGGGAAGTGTGGAACTAGGTAAAGAATGACAAAAGGGTTCATGACTGGGGGAAAGTGCGACAATATCCTTACTTTGTCGGACTACTCCACACTTCCACACCTCTGGGAAGTGTAGAACTAAGTAAGAAGTGAAGAAACTCTGGATTTCATGGCCAGGGCTGGACATGGCTCTTTGTTTCACGCCAACATATGAAGCAGATAAAAACAGAACAGCTTCCAAGCGAAGGGAAGACTAAATTCTTAGAGGAAAGGAAAGCCTTTAAAACCACAAGTATAATTATCGCCCTCATGTTTCTTTCGTACGTGCCAATACTTACGTACGGAATATTGAAAGATATCTGGCGCGATATAGTTTTGTTTTGTGTTTTTCTAAACTCGCTTATTAATCCCTTTGTTTACTGCTGGAGAAAGAAAGATCTCCGTAAAGTTATAGTGGAACTGCTTAACATCAGACAAAATGGAGGGGGATAATCAAGAACAACGAAGACGCTTTTCAGCTGCACTGGCTGTCTACTTTTAATTTTGGAACATGTTAGACGCTTTTTGTAGTTAAATCTGCTTTTCATGTTCATTTGTATTTGTTCTTAAGATCAGTGGCACCCAACGACTTTTTAACTGCCAAGAAATTTCTAAAGCTCAAGAAAGGTTCGACGTTTCGTTCGTCTAAGATTTTTGGAGGTGTTTTACTACAGTTTTTCTCAGATTTTATTACCAAGACTATTGCGATTATTGTTGAAAAACTCCTCCTAAAAAATTTAGCATGAAGACAAAACGTCCCCTAGAATTTTCAAACGAAAGTCAGATGGCTGATCCATGTCCTCTAACTTTCGACCGGACCCATCAGGTTAGCTAACAGTTTCAGATGAGACGAAAATGCCACCTTAAACTTTGGAGACGGCCAAAGTTCACTTCCCAGCTAATAAATAATTCTTAGGGAAGCTCCGAATTAACCAAACTGACTTCTAAAGCGTAGAAAAACCATTTGGGACGCTACCGACGTATTTAGAAACATTCGGTCTTTGGGTTCCCCTGATATAATGCTGCTAAGAATATAATGGAGTGTCTGAATGGAGTGACCAGAGTCAATTAAAAAAACACTATGTGTTAAAACACTTAATGTTTTGGCTCTGTAACATATATGAAACAGTTAAATTTTGCGCATTTTAACACTAACAGTAATAAAATTTCACTGAAACAGTATTTTTTTTAGAAAGCAGAGAAAGAATTAACTAAAAACGTTAGAAAGCAGAGAAAAAAATAAAAACGGCTCCTAAAAGGCCAATATTATTTTGTGTAGTATATCAAGGAGTTTTCGGCCATTTTCCAACAATTCCCGACAATTTCAGAAGATTTCCGAAGACTACGCAAGATTGCCGAACACGGTAGATGTCCGGAGACTGCCACAGCCCCTTTTAGCTTTTACTACCGATTTCCCAGGAGCAGCTGACAATGCTGATTTACTAGGGGCTTTTCACGAAAAATCCTCCAAACACTTAACATTATTTTTTCCGGGAACAGTAAACAACCAAAAAAACAACAACAATAAAACGCTTAAAATTATAGGCAAATATCACTTAACACTAAACCCCATTCAGACCCTTATAATACGATGTTGAGGGGGGCGTAAGGGGGGTCCGAAAACCGCAAAACCGCACAGAAATACGCCAAAAAACCGCAAACCGCATCGGATTTTTTCCCGAATACCGAAACCGCGCGTACATGTAAGCCACAATATGAAAGCTGACGTCAGCAAGACTTATGATATATTCTGATAACATTGTGCGACCATCATAACGCTAACGATATATTGTACTACACTATTATACTCTATTTACTACTAACCAAATGCCAAGTATGCTGGTCATGTACTTGAACGAGTATTGATATCTCCCTTCACTTTGAAAAACTCTGTCACTGATCCTGTACGTCTTACATTGAGTGACTGATTACTTTGGACGACCCTGTGCTAGTTGTGGAACGCGGAATAAATGTTTCTTCTGGAATTATGACCTTGTCTCGTGAAGAGTTCACGTTCAGTGGAGAAGACGATTGTTAAAACGTACAGCTCTTCTGAAATTCTCCCCTTCCTTTCCTTCTTCATAGAAGACTGGCACGCGATTGATTATTACGTCCTCTTCGCTTTCATTTGCGACCTCGACGACCTCAGTTGCCATTGTCGAGCATTGAATCAAAGCAAAGAGAACACGAAGCTGTACGGCTGTACGGCTGTACGACCTAACATCCGGCATGGAATTTCACGAAGTCGACGCATCATTGGCCAAAACGGTTAACCACAGAGTTAAATTGTAAGCTGATATAATGAACCCTGATGCGTTGTAAAACAAAACACTTGGCTCGCGCTTGCAAAACAACGGGATGCCGACCGTTCTAAAGAGTGTTATCACCGCAGTCACTTTTTTTTTCACCGAAAACTGCGACTTAAAGGTTGTAATAACCGCAAACCGCTTAGTGTTTTGAAACCGTAATACCGCGAGTTAAAATAAAAATTACCGCAAAACCGCACCAAAAATAACGCAAAACCGCATCACCGCAAACCCTTACGCCCCCCTCGATGTTGATTCAGCACATGAGACTGAATATGATGGTAAACTTCTACTCCCCTCTCTTGATTTACAGCGATCGGTATAACACTAACTTCGTGATCGATGTAAAATATGACATAAGAAAAATTTCTGCTTCGTGTAAAAGGCATGCCTTACAAAATATCTATTTACCTTGGTTAGTTTCAAAACAGGTGGCTTTTTGAAGTGCTTTTCGTCTGTGGTTCGTGAAGTCGGAAACAAAGCCGCGCGAAAGCTGAACTGAGGACAAACGAGGAAACAGTGGAGAAGGGAGCGAGGGGGAAAAGTAGAGATTGAGTCCGATCTTTAAACTCGGAGTCTCATTAACGCCAGTGATGTCACGGCCTATGTTCTTAAATACAAAATCATGCTACAGCTGAAGGAAAAATCTTCACAAGCATGTGGAGGTTAGTGTTCTAGGAATATTGTACCTGTGCCTGCAAGTCACCCCCTTAGTAGTACAGGGTGCACCGGTAAGTCCCATCTTTTAAGTTGGAATCTCATCATTGTTGGGTTGAATAAATTGGTGCCATTTTCACGGCCTGTTTTCTTTAAATCAAAATCAAGCTAGAGCAGGATGAAAAGTCGTCACAAACGTCTGTGGTGGTTAGTGTTCGTAGAATAGTTTGCCTGCGTCCTCCTTAATACTATTTGCACGAAAAGAAACACAACTGGCATAACTAGGTTGCCGGTCAACGACAAACGAGTTGAAGCGAACCTTATCCCTGAAATGAAGTATCCTACCTCACTCTGATGAGCCTGTCAAGGAACATTCCAGCTTTATAGGAGGAGTACCCGTTGCGTACTATACTACTCCCTTTCATCCTTAAAAGGAAACTTCAACAGCAAAGCTTTCTTTTTGTTTTTAATATTCAAGCTCAGCCTAGTGCTTAAGCATTTTGTTGACCGTGTGAAGCCTGAAACTGACGCCGCGTTGTCACAGGAAGCATTGGGTGAGAGGGAGAGAGTATCCAGATCACCGCTCACGCTCGGATTTCAGGATTAATCTTGCCGAAAACGCTAAACCTTATTAAAACAGGATGATGTGGAAGGAATGGCCACCACAGGCAGACGTAACCGTACGAGACAAGAATTGCTCAGAGAGAGTGCTCTATAGTTATGAATTATGAGTTTAGCATAACTGTCTAGGGTTTCTCTGTCTACAATTTGTTAGTGAAAAGCTCTCGGCGAAGAAGCAGCATGTGACTTGTTTGATATTCCATACCGATTCCACTTAAGACTGCATATGAAAACTTAAATCATAAGAAAGGGCCATATTCGCCTTGTAAGTTTATGTCATCGGTAACCGGCCCTTATCTTGATCTCAGATTTTAGCATCGTGCAGCTACGTCGATACAATAAAACTTTACAAAGAAGATGAAGATGACTGGTAAGTTATTTCTTTACTGATAATATTTTGGAAAGATTAAATTGTCACAACGCGTACAGGATATGCTTATTTTTTGTCCGTTTTTTAACTCTTACCCGAGCATTTTGCGTCTGGCAAGATAAGAAACATAGTGGCCACCCTGAAGACATGGCCAACTTAATGCCCTCTTGACAAAGTGACCGTTAAGCATAGGCGTAGCCTATTCCAGGCGTTCAGATAGTGGGGAGCGGTGCGAAGTAAAAGGAGCGCGAAAAAATATGAACGCTTGGAACAGGCTAGCATAGGCGAAGACAATAAAAAGATAGCCTGTTCGGACCATGGGTTTGACAGTAATTATGGGAAATGTTTTTCGAGACTTTAGTAAGTGAGCACATAACAAAGGATTGCCTTGTAATACAGGCTTGACTGTGTCTTCAGTTTACTGAATTGTCCCAAAATTTTCAGCGGTTTCACTGCAAATATATTTTTGAACATTTGACGTCATTTCCGTGATTCATAAGAGGGTTGTCAATAGAAAATTGTGGTCGGTTTCTTGTTAGTTAAGCATGTGGTCTGAGGTGTAATGATAGTGACGATGATACCTACAAGGGTATAGTAAAGAGCATTGATAACGTTACGTTGTGTGTTCTTTCAATTTGCAGGTCTTGTTTTGATACTTTAGAAGGTCACGAGTCTACAGTGTGGGCTATTAGTTTTGACAAAACTGGAGACAGAATGGGTTGGTACCACTGAGGTTTCTGTCAGTTATCACAGCCGCACGTTTTGATACGTGGAATACTGCCTTAGAATTGCTGTGATACATTTATTTTTTCCACCTTTTTTTCAAAGGATATAAACAACAGCTTTTGACAGAAATCTTTTAACAAACAACAGCTGTCACTCAGTCTACCTTTGGGGTTCTTCATGTAAATTTTCATATTGTTTTTAAGTTAAACATCGTTAAAGACAGTTCTCTCGCAAAAAGAGTACACGTTTAAGCTTTTAGACTCTTTTTTTTTTTCGCACTTAACCCAAATCATAAGTAGTCCTACGCCTTAACTATCGTTTTCGTTATTGTCAGATATAACTAGGAAGTCTAAAAATACTTATAAAAGGGAGTCACGTCCTTCGGTGAAAATTCCTTCAATGTTATATTAAGGAAAAATATATTATATTTCAACATCTATTTGTTCACCGCTCATTTATTGTAACAATCTGACCAGGAAGTGGCCAGATAGGCTGGATAGGATCCGCATTTTAACCATTTTGGTTTATTTCCTTTTCCTGTTTTTTTTTTTCAGTTTCGTGTAGCTATGACAAAACTCTAAGAATATGGCAGTGTTATGAACCTGGAAATAAAGAAGGTATTTATTTAACTCTATTACAGGACGTGGTTGCATTGAGCGCATAAGTGAGAATTCACTTCAACCGTTACCAGCTTTTCTACAGAAGAATTCGTCGTGCTCTCCGACTCTTGCGTTCAATTCCCTATACTATCTTATCCGCCGTCGGCCTTGTTATCCGTGATACCGAGCGAAAAATCTTTCGGAACAAAGGAAATGCAGCCGCAGCAAGTTGCGTTGTGCACAACAAACACTTCGTAGCCAAAGCAGAGTGTTTGGCATTCACTTCCGCAAAAGAGCTACGATGTTAAGTTCTATGAGTTTACTTCCCTCTTTCCTAGCCATATGCCCCATTACTTTTACCACTAACGATGGCATTTTTTTTGCCTGTGTTTACGTAAAATAAAGGTGTGCCAACCCACGGAAGTGACCCGAAATGGAAGACAGTCTGTGTCTTATCTGGCTATCACGACCGAACCGTTTATGATGTTCACTGGTGAGTTGTAATGAAACGTACTTTTCATATTCTTTATTCAGTCTGTGGCCCGCTGTTCTGTTAACCTCATGGTTGCAACCAAAAAACTATTGTTTCCAAGGTTCAGATTTACTTTGTTGTGCGTTGACAACTGCGATGTAAAATGACGAAGTTTTAGGTTCTTTAGATAGACGAGGTGAACGGCAAGACGATATAAATATTCCGACGTGGTTCCCTCTCTTAAGCTCCAACTTGCTTTCCCAACTATTGAATAACTGAACGAGTTGAAATAATCACGAACAAGCTTAGAAGGATACGAAGCCAGTTTCCAAAGACATTTTCACCAGTGTCACCGTTGTGCGGTATCTTAAGGTGCCTACCATTTCAAGAGTGACGAGTCAATGACAGATTCTGAAGACGTGTGAGGGTGTGGATGTGGAGAAAAAGAGAGAATCCTTCACTTCTTCAAAACTTCACCATGTTTACAAACGCAAAGGCTTACAACAGTGCAACAGATTTATGGGATCTGCCCAAGATTTTGCATCTTTTGTAATTATTTTTCTTATCTTAGGTCATTTGTCACTGATGCCATAGTGACATCTTCCGGAGATGACTGTATACGAATTTTTCAACAGGTGATTCACAATCAAATTGTTCTGCAGATTTTTTATGTTTGGTACCTCGCAATTTAGGAAGCTTTTATTTAAATCCCTACACTAGCGAATCATTCCTTTGCTGTACCCACAGAAAAGTTTCAACCTTTGATTCTTTTAGCTACTGCCTAGGCAACTTTTTGAGAAAGAAAAACGAAATAGTTCGATACAGAGTTATCTAGCAGACTAATTAATTACAGTTTGCTTTTTATTTATACATTTATCAAGGAGATAAATTGTTTATTTAATATTCATTAGGATCCTTCTGTTGGTGACAAAAATCAACCGACATTTCACCAAGTGGCCGTTCAAAGAAAGGTTTGCAGTAATTTCTTTTATATCCTGAGCATAATCCAGTCCAGCGTCTATGACAACCTGACTAAATTACTTTATAATCGTTTTCATTAAGGTCTTACCCTTCTGGCCCCAGTTGTTCGGAAGGTGGATAGCGCTATCCACAAAATAAATCTCTATCCACTGAATAGCGCAATTAGTTTTCCAAATATTTATCCACTGGATAGTGATTTATCCAGTGGATAGTGCTATCCAACTTTTCAAAAACCGAGGCCAGGAAGTTTGCACGGTCCCCATTTTTATCTGAAGAGCTCGCTATTTTGATCACTTGTCTTCAAAAGATAATTACGGATTGGCTGCATCTTCAGCAAAAAGGGGGCCGGGTAATTTCTTACATATTTCCCGCGGGGTAACTCGGATAAATAAGATTTAGAACAATTTTTACATCTTCAATGTCTAACGTCAACAGCATCTTCTTTTTGAACAAGTTTTTTTCTCTGAACCAAGTTGAAGGAGTCAGTCTTTCATTTTGAACTCGGCTTTGAAACGACTAGACGTATAGCGTTTGGTTGTTTCCAATATTTAGTACCTCAGTACGATATATTATCTGTCTTTTGAATGACTAATTACAGAATAAAAGGTATAAACCGGGTTCCTTTTTTCACCGCATACAGGCACATTCTCAAGACGTTAATGGCGTGAAATGGCATCCTAAAGAATCAGGTCTCTTAGCTTCATGTTCTGATAATGGTACAATCAACATGTGGAGATTTATACCACAGGATTAAATGACCTTCAACTACAATTCTGATAAATACCTAGTACCCTTGAGATCAAAAATTCAAATACGAGATTAATAGATGATGACCGTAGCGAAAACATTTGCACGAGATCGGGGGCATACTCTGGCGACATTCTCTGGGAATGAGTTTTCATACTCTAAGAAAGGACAAAGGAATTCAAAACCGTGACAATCAAATGTGAGCTTTTTAACGGGGATTGTATTTGCAATTTTCGCAGGTCACTGCAAACATCTCCGTTAGAACTCCCACGAAAGTTTCTGGGTCTGGGGACATAATAATTTAACTCAGAATTCCTAAGATTGTGTGAATGTACATTTGAGGTGTTGGTAAAGATCCGCCTCAGATACGATGGGGAAAGATTATTATGGATTTTATACATTGTCACAGCCAACTGTTTAAGTCTTACATATTCTAGCCTTTCCTAGCCAAGCTCATCCAACAAAACACTTGAGCGAACGTCATAGTTAGAAAAGGTGAGAATTCTAGCAGCCCTATTCTGCAGCTTTTGAAGTTTGTCTGCTAGTCCCTTATTGATATTACCCCATACGGCACCACAGTAATTAAAATATGGCATTACCAGTGCATTGTACATATTCACTCTAGTATCAAATGGTATAAAATGACTTACACGCCTTAAGATAGCAATACCAGCGGATATTTTCTTTGAAATGGTATGAATGTGTGGGCGCCAGTTCAAAGATTCATCAATTTGAACTCCAAGGGATTTATGTTTAATTACTCTTTCTAAGGGTGTATTATTGACTTTGACTGTGAAGTCACTATTTATTTGGGATAACTTAAATTGGCTCCCTATAAACATGTATTTAGTCTTCTTAACATTTAAAGTTAATTTGTTTGCTGACAGCCATGACTGGATTAAATTCATATCATAATTCATTTTATGTTCAAGGACACATGGGTCTTCTGCAGATGTGGTAAGGGTAGTATCATCTGCATACATTCTGGGTTTTGAAAACAAATTACATGAAGGGAGATCATTAATATAAATAGTGAATAAGAGAGGGCCTAAAATAGACCCCTGTGGAATACCACAAGTTATATTACAGAAATCAGATTCAACTCCATCAATGAACGTTTGTTGC